ATATATATATATATATATATATATACACACACCCAGAAAAAAATAGTTTTTTTCCTTTATGGATTGATCTATACTGTATACTCGTGATGTTCATTCACTCAGGTTCACTACTAGTCGGTGTGGACGAATCCATTAAGGCTGCTCGTAGGGGAGAATTGAGAAGTTTTTGGTCAAGATAATTGCTAATGATGATTTAATAACCTATAATGGATCTCTCGTAACATAATCCTACAAATATTCGACAACTGAAACAGAATTTAGGGCGCTATCGTATGTAGGAAGTAAAATAACACGTTTTAAATGTGTTTCAGCAGTGGTATATGCCGAAGGAGAGGGCGAGCTTTCGGTGTAACCTCAGCTCTTCAGCTTCCCCCGCTCAACTCGGAGATCTTGCTCGGCTAACGGCTATCATTAATGGCGTCTACGGAGATAGCGAGGCAAGCGGTGAGTATCCCGTTTCAATTAACCCACATTGATAGTACTGTTTCGCTCAGATCTTTCAAAAAATCATGCATCATTGGAAATATTGTAATTTTGAATTGTGTGCTTGTGAGCCGCCTCCCCCCAATGTGGTTATCGTCATTTTACGAGCAAAATGTCGTGTTGAGATTATGCTAATCTAGAATCGTCAATGCGAAACTCAATAAGGCTTCGCTATCAGTACCAATGAATGTTAGTTTTCCAAAATTATATATGGTGCGCGCGTGTTGGTTTGACACTATTGTTGGCCAAAACGCACAAGTGCCGTGTAAAATGTCCATTTTAACCAATTAAAGTCTACGTAAATGATAATAATAAAAAAGAATAAAAGAAAAGACGTGCTGTTCTATAGAGGCCATTCATTTTCAACGCCCTGGTTTAAGCGATGCTCATTTCCGTTATGTTATCTCATGCAAGTCAATTCACCTTTCAATCGGGCGTTGTCATGCCTGTTTAAACGGAAAAAAGCTAAATATTACTTGGTATTTAACCCCGCAATTTGCACAAAAAAAGTTATGTGTCTAAGGTTACTGCATATATTTTACTGTGGCTGCTTTACACCCCCCACCAAAAAAAAAAGCAGACAATGTGCCCAGAATAGCACGTTTCTCTCGTTTTGACATCGCATTCTGCGGCTGTCTGGTGTGTGGAATTTGGCTGTGAGTGTCTTGAAAGGCAGGAAGGGTTTTTGGAATGTTGCACTTACAACCAGAGGTGTATGTTGTCGTTTCGGGTCGATAGATGGAAAGACACCTCTATCAGGCTGCAATGGAATCCAAGTGGGCCACATTTATCACGTGATGCTGATCCAGATTTTTATGAGATGTTTTGGGGCCCCTCGAATCTCATGTACCCATACAATTGTCATTGTTTGCCGAATGGCTCGTCTGTCCCTGCTTCCAACTAATATACTATAAATCAGTGTTTCCCAACCTTTAGTGCACCCAGCCACACATTTTACAGTGAAAAACATATCTCGGCATACCACTCTGCAAAACGATGAACAAAAAGTGGCTATGGCTATACAGGTTAATTGTGTACCTTCTGTTTTCTAGTGGAAGAGCAGTTGATTATTCTGCCTGTTACGATGCGTGGTTGACATAGATAAATACATATCTGTATTTTTTAATTGAAAATAATAGGGGCGGAACAAAAAACAACTTGTATCGGAAGATCGTTTTTTGATTTATGCAAATGCAAGTGCATCGAATCGAACCAAATCGTTCCACTTGAAAATATACCCCTTTACATATTGAATCATCTTTGATTGGACAGATATATTGTCGAAGGAAATGGCACATATACAGAACTGACAGTTTCATTTAAATGTATGTAAATTGACAACAAAAAAGTAATTGCATCACACTCTTCTCCAACGGAGCTGTACCATATTGAATTGAATCGTAATCTACTTTAGTCGATCCCAATAGAATCTTTTCACTTTCATGTCAAACCATCCTTGAATCACTTTGCACTCCTCATATTGATTGTGAATTTGGTGGGGAGATGCACTCCACCTAGAAACCGCCCCCAAATATATATATATATATTTGTTTTCTCTCCAAATAATTGACAGATAATTTCCTGCGGCACACCTGATGATCTCTCATGGCACACTAATGTGCCAAGGCACACTGGTTGTAATGATTGCTATAAATTAATGTTTGCCCACATATGCCCATAGGATTTACAACACCATCCAGTCACTATTTAAATCCAATTTCAGCCCTCTAAATAATGAACGTTTTCACCAATTGTTCTCCTCCCCATGGAATGTTTTTGCTGTCAAAGCTGTGACCACATAGCCGAGCAGGCACTCTAACCACCGCTACAGTCCACATCCACACACACCCACACATGCTTCAATTGGAATTTTTGCACTTGTTTCAGAGAGACCCTGCATGCAATGTAATACAGTACAATGCTCGCTGGGTTGTTTATCAGCATTGGTGTCACATTAATAATCACACTCATTGGCCAGTGTTTGCCACACTTGGACAATCAAAGGATGTATTTGCAGTGCAGGTGCCCAATTCTGCTTTTAATGACTAAATATGGGATATTTCCATGTTCATTGCATACATTACACATAAATTACACATTACACAAACGACATGTAACTTCACAAGCATCAACAGCAGGAAGTTTTAAATGAATGTAACCTCCACCTTACTCAATTGCTTTCCTCATTTCCTAATTATGCACTCACCTGTAATGTAGCATATTAAAACCATATTTAACCACTATTTAATCGCAGAAAACAGGCCATCCTAACACAATGGATATTATGTTTTTGAGTAGAAATGGACTACATTGTACTCGTTTTTTTTTTTTGTGAGGTTTAACCCACCCACATAACAGGGTAAAGAAACCAAAATGTTAGAAACCTCGATAAGATCTGTAACCCCTGTATAGTACAGCTGACACCATTGAACACTGTCAACTAAGCACATTATTATATTTGAAAAGGCCGACGTTTACTCTTGGCTCTCATTAGATTTTTCGCACGTGTCTCTAAAATAGTGGTCTATGAGTACATATTATCTAAAGTGTGAACCTTGTGAAATGTCCAATAAAATACACATTTGCTCTGTGGTTTCCTGATGCGGGTAGAACCTCGAGAATTCAGGAAACAGGAAGTCTGCAGTGTAAATATATAACAGACACGAACAATTATTAATCAAGTGTGATAGAAAGAATGTTAATCTTTTGTAGGATGGTGTTTGCCGAACATTTTTTTTGTCATTTGTTGTTTTTAGGGAGAAGGTGCCCGCGCTGTACCTCTTGCTGGCCATGTTGGCTTTGACAGCATGCCTGACCAGCTGGTCAACAAATCTGTCAATCATGGATTTTGCTTCAACATCCTCTGCGTTGGTGAGTATGTCGTATGTGACAACAGATCGAAAAATCGGCATAATGGCTGGTATTTGAACAGTATGGACTAAGGCCGGCTTAAATTTCGTTATCGTATCGATATCTAGCTCTGAGCATTCATGATATTAATATCGTAAATGAGGACAATATCTGTCATTATGGACTTTACACACGTGCGCTCCATGTTCAGCTCAGGCCTCCTTTCCAGTTTGCAGTTGATCAGCAGCTCAAGCCAGCCAATGGCCTCCTTCTGATGGAGGGAGGGAGGACGCACGCACGCACGCACACACACACACACACACACACACACACACACACACACACACACACACACACACACACACACACACACAAATCCACAGCCACACGCGAAAAATCCATTTCCAGGTCATAAGTGAGGAAGACACAGCCATGTGCCATCAAGCCATGGAAATAGAGTATATAAGGTACATGAACACTACTCACCAAAAGTAAGGGATATTTGGCTTTCAGGTGAAATTTAAGGACGAGCCTAAAATGCATTCAACCCTTCACAGGTGAACTTAATGTGACCTTCTCTAAATTTTTGAATGCACATGTCCAACTGTTAAATGTTTTAATACTTTTTGCACAAGTTGCTGTTCTCGAACGGGGAGCTTAACGGCAAAATTCATAACAGGTGTAACAGAGATCTCAAGAGACTGGAAGAGTCACAGAAAGATGTAGAAGTCGAAGTTCTTTGGCCACTTCCCATTCTGATGACTGTTACATTGTGAATAATGCCCTGAGAAACCGGATGATGAATGCCACTCACTCCAGGCAGGTTTAAGGGAGGTACTCAAGTGTCATGTCAAACCATTTGAAATAGTTTACGAAACTGCTTCTGCGTGTTGGATGACCGACAAGGGTAACTGACCAGAGCACCAGGCACAGGCATCATCATCTTGCATGGGCCAGGGTGAATTTACGCTGGACGTGGGACCAGTGGGCCCCAGTGGTGTTGTCTGATGAAAGTTGATTCACGTTGAGTAGAAATGATGGCCACCAATGATGTTGGAGACGTCAAGGAGAGTGCTATGCATCAGCCACTGTTGTTACCAGATGAGCTTTTGGTGGTGGCGGTGTTACAGTGTGGGCAGGTGTGTCCAGTCAGTACAGAACTGCCCTACACTTTTTGACATACCCATACTGCCTGAATAACATTATTAATCCAGTGTTTATCCCCCTACATGAACAACACGGCCCTAATTTCATCTTCAAGGACAACAATACTTCAGCTTATCGAGGTCGCATCATCACGGAGCGAATGTTGGAAACTGGTGTACCTCAAATGGTACGGCTGGCATTATCTCCAGACCTGAATTCTATTGAAAACCTCCTGGGTCAGCTGAGTGGCTGTGTAGAAGTTCGAAACGCTGAACCCCAAAACCTCAATGACCTGAAGGCTGCCTTTCAAGAAGAGTGGGATGCTATGCCTCAGCAGACAATAAGTTGACTTGTGAACGGCACGAGATGTCGTCGTCAAGCTGGAATTGATGCTCAAGGGCACATGACGAGTTATTGAGACATTGTCATTTTTTGTTGTGGTGTTTCTTTCCACATCCTTTTTGATTGATATTTAGCTTTTTATTTTAAAATAAATAGTTTTCATTGAACCCATAGTAATATTTTTTAGCGCATTGTTATCAAGATACCTGGATATTGAGATATGAAATTTGTCCATATCGCCAGCTCTTGTGTGGATTGTAGAATTATTTTTAGTGTGGACATGAGTGTAGGTGCAGTGCTGCACAAATATTTTGAGCAAAAATTCGAGCTTCTCATATGGTCAAACTCTGTTAAATGTCCCGCTGCTTTTAGTCAACAATGGATGACTGTCAGTGGCGAGTCAAACAACAGTGGCTGTTTTGTGTCGATTCTGCACAGTTCCTGAACTCATCAGTGAGTGCTTCCTCTCAACATCTGTTTTTGTTTAATTCTCTCTTAATCACTGCAGTACAAAGAAATTCTATTCATTTCTTTGTCTCTTCTGGCATCTTTGCTTTGGCTTTTGTTCACTGCAAATGAAGTACATCCATGCTTCCATACATTTTCACATTCGCTTATCCGCATGCTAGAGCCGATCCCACCAGTCATCGGGCAGGAGGCGGGATACACCCTGAACTGGTTGCCAGCAAATCACAGGGCACATATAGACGAACAACCATTTGTGCTCACACTCACGCTGAAGGACAATATAGAGTCTTCCATTACCCTGCCATGCATGTTTTTGGAATGTGGGAGGAAACCGGAGTATGGTTTGACGTGACACTTGGGTGCCTCTCACCTCCCTGAAATGTGCCTGGAGTTGAATGGAAAGGAAACTGGAGTACCCGGAGAAAACTCACGCACGTACGGAGAGAACATGCAAACTCTGCACAACAAAGCTGGAGGAGGAATCGAACCCCGCACCTCTGCACTCTGAGGTGGAGGTGCTAACCAGTCGACCACCGTGCTGCCCTATATGAAGTAGTTAATTATTTTGATATTTTGGATTTTTTTTTTGTATGAATCGCAAAATGCTTTTCGTGGCAGCAAAATTAAATAAAAACAAAAAAAAAAAAAAAAAAACAAAAAAGAACAAGAAAG